TTGAAGCTTCCACAGGGGTCACACAGCAGCTGAAGAGCAGAGCTGTTATTGACACACAGCCTTCTGATCCCTAGTCAAGTGGTTATCTGTTTTAAGTATAGTAGTGATACATGTCAATCCAAGACAAATTACTTTCCCCTTTGTGTAGGCCATCTAGAATGAAGAGAGCATAGATTGCAATGAAAAGTAAGTTGGGTACATAGTCAGGCTGCTGCCTTTAAAAACAGGCATTAGGCCAGATGAGATTTCCAAGGATTCTTCCCTCTTGAGAGTAAGTTCTGCTGCAGGTCACTGCCCCTGGTACGAAGTTATCCATCATTGTGTGTCTGAGAGGGAGATGAGTTTCCCTCTCTCACCTTCTTCAGATTGGAGGTGCTGAAAGATACCAGGACACGGCTGGCTTTGTAGTTAGCATTCAGAAGCTCCACTTAAGCACGTGGCCCTCCCAAGAACACCCACCGTCTGTGTTTTGAGGTAGTGGAGGCAGTGAATGCTCCAGAAAGAGGAGAAGGCTGGCCCCAGCCTAGCGGACGCAGGCGGTCTGCCCCCAGGCCGCCACTCTGGCCACCGCTCTGCTCTGTCCCCTGGCTCAGGACCTTGGGACCTGCCTTCTTTTGAGCTGCCTCTGCTCCCTCAGTTCCTGGGGGTGGCTGGCTATCCTGGAGCAGAACATGGTCCTCGCTCCTCTCCCTTCACCCTCAAGGTAGGTGCTCAGGTCCCTTTCCTGGATCTGTTTGGCTGACAGATGCTGCCAGGAACGGACCGGGAATAACTATGGTGGGGACAGATCCCAGAATCCCTCCAAAGTTGTTAGGTTGACGCCCGGGGCCTCTCACTCACCTCTTCCCTCCGTTTATTCTGAGTATAGGAACTAAAAGCCTCAGTGATGTTTATTCTGTGTTTAGTATTAAAACTGGGGCTTCCTGTTTCCCCTTCTTCAAAGCTCCCCATCCCACGTCTCCCCACAAGAAGGAACTGTGATAATTTCTGCTGCACGGCATCGTGAATCAGCCACATGTGTGTGCACACCCCTCCCCTCGGCCACCCCTCTCGTCTGCGCAGAGCACCGGGCTGAGCTCCCTCGGCGACCCAGCAGCTTCCCACTAGCTGTCCGTTTTGCACATGGTAGCATGTATATATGTCAGTGCTACTCTGAAAAAAAAAGATAATTTAAAACAGAAGAAACCTCAGTAGGAGAAGTCTTAACCTCAGTGAAATAAAGTGTAAAAATCCTCTTAAAAAAAAAAAGGAACTGTGACCTCTTCCTAAGAGAAAGCTGAGTTCTTGGTGGAGGTGAGGGGCTCACTTCCCTTTCCTGAACTTGCCTGTTTTTGAGGTACACGGGGTCCCCAGAGACTCCCTCCTCTTGTCAGCAGCACCCTTGTCTCATGTTGCCTCACACACGCCTGCGCTCCCGCGGGGACTGTCCTTGAGCCGCAGGTGGTTCTCTGGGTAGATTGATTTTCATGACCATAGCCTTCCCCTTCTGCTCTTCAAGGCACAGTCTTTTAATATCTGGCCTCCCCCTCTTTAATTTAATTCTTAGATAAATTATAAAGTATACAGTAAATCTTTACCAGATCAGACTAATTTGGCAAGGGATTAGTTTGCATTAATTGAAGGCTCTTTTGAAGAAATAAGTATTTTTCTAGTGTATGTAACTCAAAGTAGGTTACCTACCACTGTTGCCTGGTAGAGGCTTAACAAGAAGATAATTATTTCTAATTACAGTATTAAGTGTTTGTAAGTGCTTGAAGATATTTGAAGAATTTATTTTTGAGATCTCTGAACACTTTGCCTAATCTCCCTTACACTATTAATTAGTAGGATCTGTGAATGAAAGATTGAGCTCTCAAAAGGACATATATTTCAGGCCCAGTTCCAAATGATCCTTGATTCCAGGTTTACTTTACCTGCCAATCAAGAAATAGAACTTTTGACGCTACAGGTTTTCTTTTGTCAGTGATACTGAGAGGAAGAGGTGGGGAGAAATTAAACTTTTATGATAAAACTAGTGACTCAATTCCCGTTCTGTACACTGTGAACAGAATGTGCCATTGTTAGATTTGAACGGAGAAAGGAAGTGTTCTTTGTCTGAACAAATTAGAACAAACATTGTACTAAGACAGTTTACTAACAACATATCCTTTTGGATACCACGTGAGCATCTTTCAGATTTTTCATTTCTAGCATATAGTTATGGAAGGGAAGTGGCCTTCTTCTCGAATATAGGTCTTAAATGTTCTGTATAGGTGTCCCCATGGATGTAGTAATTACTCTTGATATGGATGCTTATTGACGTTCAAAATTATTTTTCCAGTACAGATTGGCTTAGTTGGCAAGAAAACCAAGTGTTTGAGTCCAGGGTCCAGTGATTGGGTTGGTTAGATGTTCAGTCACTCAGTTCTGCCCAACTCTTTGCAACCCCATGGACTGCAGCACATCAGGCTTCCCTGTCCTTTGGTATCTCCCAGAGTTTGCTCAAACTCATGTCCACTGAGTCAGTGATGCCATCCAGCCATCTCATCTTCTGTTCCCACCTTCTCCTGTCCTCAGTCTCTCCCAGCATCAGGGTCTTTTCCAGTGAGTCTGCTCTTCACATCAGGTGGCCAAAGCACTGGAGCTTCAGCATCAGTCCTTTCAAAGAATATTCAGGGTTGATTTCCTTTAGAATTGACTGGATTGATCTCCTTTCAGTCCACGGGACTCTCAAGAATCTTCTCCAGCACCACAATTTTTATATTTGTATATTATTCTATTCATATATTTGTGAAGAATATATGAATATATAAACAAATTTAGCATAATGCCTGACTCGGAATAAAAGCACTCAGTCATGATTATCAGGGAAACAGGCTCTGGAGACAGACGGCCTGGATTTCAGCCCTAGTTCTCCTGTTTACTAGGCAGTTTACTTCTCAGCATCTAGGTTTCTCATTTGTAAAATGGTAATAACTGTGGAACTGGTCTCCGAATTTTTAGCCAATAAGATATGGCATGTGTCACTAACACGGTATTTTTCCTCCTGGGCATGTGGCAGGATTGAAGTTAGGTAGGACCAGTGCATCGAATTCAGGAAGCCCAGGAGACTTCTGGAGAAGGCTTTAGGAGCCAGTGGGTGATTCACCAAGTACCCTGCCCCACCATGGCCACCAGCAGCATCCCTGATGCAGGGGCTCCACCACAGCCTGGGTCCCTCAGCCTACTCGAAGCAGGCTTGTTAGCATGAAAGAGAGATAAGCCTTTACCTTTTTCTTAAGCCCCTGGGATTTTGATGTTAGTTGTTACCCCAGCAAAGCCTAGCACATTCTGACCAGCACACCAGAGGGACAGCCCTGATGCTACACCGAATGTTAGAATTCGGCTGAAATGAGTAATAATACAAAATGTCAGCTGTGTTGGCTTGGACACCTAGGCCACGGAGACCCTGAAAATCCCTTGTGGGTATGTCTGTAAAACCACCCTTGTGTGTGCTCTAAAATACGAAGGGCCTGGGCAGTGACCACCAGTTTGCAGGACCTGACCCTTTCCTTATATGACCGAGCTCAAGCAGCTTTTCTGTAAGCAGAAGTTCATCGTATTTGGCCTCGCGCCTAAGGTGGTGGTGGTTGTCTGTTGCCTTGGTTCTGATCTCTCTGCCCCTGCCACTTCTGGCCACTCTGTGGCCCCAGAGCCTCAGGCTGTCTTGCCTCAAGTCCACGCCGGTCTGCGTCCACAGGAGCCCACACTCTGCCCTCCAGTCCTCCTGGTTTGGATAGTGTGCCTCTGCTGCTCTTTTTGTTCATGTCTCTCTGAGCTTTAGGGGGTACACATGAGACGTCCTGGGGGATAGCCCTCTTTTGAAGTCTGAACAATGTGTTTGAGCAACACTGGTAATGTCTGAGATGTGCCTGGCATCCCAGTGAGGAAGGTGAGCTCCCAGGGGTAATTGTGCTGGAGGCTTGGGTTGGAGCAGAGATGATTCAGTGTCAGGTTTTGACGTCTGTCCAGGGCTTAAAGCTTTTCGTTAGCCTTTGTTCCAGAACACTGAGGAGATGGAAATGTTACTGCTGCCAGAAGGAAAACGTTATGAGGAATGGCTTTTCACTAGAATGCTGGTGGTCTGCTTTTCATGTAAGGTAATAATAGACAAGTCATTCCAAGAGAACTGAAGCTTAGCAGTCATTTTTAAAACCAGCGTCTTTTCTACCACAATGGTAATTTGGGTTCCTTATTTTTTAAAAATTGGAAAATAACAAAAGCATCGTAAAAAGAATGGCTCCTCATAACCCCACAGGACAAAGATAACCACTGTTTGCCCTTTGGACCTTGTTTTTCTTTTAGTTTTTACATAGGTACATTTGTAAGTAACATAGGGGTGATAAACAACAGAACATCTTATTGAAACCAAAATGGCTATTTTCTGTGCCAGGAAGTCTTTTAAGTGCTTCATGCGAATTAGTTCATTTATTCCTCACAGCTCTTCAAAGAATCACTATCTCTATTTTACAGAAGAGGAAGCACAGAGAGGCTAAGTCATTTTTCCAGGGCCACACAGCTCCCAAGAACGGTGCCAAGATGGAAACCAAAGCATTCTGTCTTTCAAGTCCAGGGTTTTGACGATCCTGTGATGCCCTCTCACAGTCAAGATAGCTTGGAGTACGCTTCAGGGAATTTTGCAGTGTTAGCTCTGAGCTGTCTGGTTCTGTCTCCTCATTCTATAGATTAGGAAATCAGAGACCACACAGGTGACTCGATATAGCCGAGAACACACAGCTGGTGAATGCCAGCGCCAGCACCAGAGCACATGTGCCCTGACCCACCTGCTCCCCGAGCTCATCGGCTCTGGGCGAGCTGTGGACCTTTCTCCTCCTCCCTGGGCCCCAGCCCCGAAACAGCTGCGTTTGTACCGTGACCTCAGTGCCAAGTCTGATATGGTGGCTGGAGGACTCACTTGGCTTTCTTCCAGCAGGTACCTGCAGCCCCAGCTTGAGGTCAGGGATTGTATGGGTGTGCTGACTGTTAATTATCTTGCAGAGTCTGGGCTATAAAAGGCTGAGGCCTGCAGCCCAGCACAAGTTTCAGCTCTCCACTCTCATCAGAAGTTTAACTAAGATTTACGAGCCAGCAGAAAGAATCATTGATTGAGATTTAGACACGGTTGCTATCCTCCACCTGGACTCTCGAGGACGTGCCAGGCATTGTTGTAACTTTAAAGTGAGCCAGAAGTCAGCCAGCCGTCTGAGCGCAAACATTCCTGTGTACGCGGGTGGCAGGGGCCGGCATTTGTGAGGGAACTGGGCCAGTGCCCCGAGACCCCGGGGCTGGATAGGCAGCTGCTGTGGGGCTGAGAATTAAAGGAAGAGGAAGAGGTGATGACTTCTTGCTGTGTTGCTAAGGTAAGGATTAAGAGCCCCTGTATCCTCCAAGGTGTGGTGGACTTCTTAACAGGGACTGTCTAGCAGGGTTTTGTTTTCTTTAAAAAAAATCTGATTTTATCTGAGTGACAGGAGCCTTTCTCCTTATGACTCCCACGATGTGGAACAAAGAAAGACAAGAGGACTACATGATATATTAGCCAAAATGAATGTGTGCTGTTAGAAGCTAGGCTTGTGGTTGCCTCTGGAGGTGGGGGTGATGTTGTTGTGACTGACAGAGGCCAGGGGAGCTTGTGTTCTTTTCTTTTTTTTTTTAACTGAGTCCTGGTTACACTAGTTTTAGATTGTGTGAAAATTCGAGTTTTACTCTTTTCAAATACGCTCTTTTCTGCATGTAAATTAAGCTTAAAGTTTAGAAGTCCTTGTTTTTATTTGTGCTTCATGTTGCACGTTGATACTCAGAAAAATCTGATCAGTTGAATCAGGTTGAAATGATGTAGAAATTACTACCTAGGTATTAAGAAAATGTCTTTACCTGAAATTGTCGGTCTGTCTGGACAGAACTTAGGCCATTTTTTTATTCTCTTCAAAGGTAGCTTATAGTTTTATTTACTTATTTATTGACTGCACTGGCTGTTTGTTGTGGTACACAGGCTCAGTGGTTGTGGCACGGGGGCTTGGTTACCCCATGGTATGTGGGGTTTTAGTTCCCTGACCATGGATTGAACCTGTGTCCTTTGCATTGCAGAGTGGGTTCTTAGCCACTGGACCACCAGGGAAGTCCCTTCAAATATATCTTAAATCAGGGATCCACATCCTTTTTGGCACCGGGGATTGGTTTTGTGGAAGAGGACATTTTCCAGACCTAGGGTGGGGGCGGGGATGGTTTGGGGATGATTCAAACCCATTACAATTATTTTGCACTTTAATTGTATTATTATTATTATTATATCAGTTCTACCTCAGATCATCAGGCATTAGATCCTGAAGGTTGGGGACCCCTGTCTTAAATAACCTCAGTGTAGATTCTTCCGGAATAAAGGATGAGGTCACTTTAGTTCAGCAAACATGTAATTGACAGCCTCTTGAGAAGCAGAGACAGAGCTTGCTCAAGAGCTGGGGCAGTTGCGACACCACCTTTCCCCTGGAGGAGTGGGTGAGTGCTCAAAGGCGGAGTAAACTGAAGCAAGAGCGCTACAGAGCATCACAGGAAGGACAGGCAGCTTTCTGACAGGACTAGGAAAAGCTTCAGAGAAAAAAAGTGGCATTTGAAATGGATCATAAAGAATATACTGAATTTTGATAACCAGAAGTGGATATGTAGCTGCTATTGAAAATACCATGCATATGAGGAAATCCATAGAAAATGCATACACATTCTGGGAACTTTGGGTTGTATGGTTCACTTAAGATGTTTGACATTCATCAGGTGCATGGTGGAGGCCTGACAGATAAGCTGGGCCCTTAACAGTGGCCAGGTTGTATTAAATAAATTGAGAGGCGTTAGAGAGTCAAAGAGATTTTCTCAGAAGTAGAGCAGCATGGTCAGATGGGCTATCTTAAGTGAAACTGAATTTCTAACCTCCCAGTTATACTGTTATTAACTCTGTCTGCCCAAAGTAAACATTTCCTCAACTTAGTGCATCCTTTGTTTCTATAATTTGAGCCTATTCCTGTTTGGATCCATGGGGTGAGCCATAGGTGCTTGGCTTCCTTGAGCTTCCTGTGGTCCTCTCTTCAGGACTTGAAGGTGATCATTATATATCTTCTTCAGTTCCTACACCCATCCTTCCCCCTTGACCAGGTGAAGTCACAATTCCTTTATCGTTTTTTACAGTCTTGTAGTGATCTGGCATTTAATTCCTTCCAGCCTTTCCTATGTGATGCTCATCTGCCAAAGAAAGCAACCAGGATGTCTTACAGCCATGTCGTGTGTGAAAAGAGGGGGCCAAGAAGTAAAGTAAAAAAACTTTTTTAAAGTGGGAAAGAAGCCCAACGAACCCCCGAACCGGGAATAGGGCCCCCCGGGCCAACGGGCCCCCCCCAAGGAAAAAACAACGGGTAGGGTTTTGCATATGGCAAAGGGTTAATGCTAATTATTGGAAACAGTCCACATTTGAGCCTGGGTCACTTGATCAGTATGAGGTCTGTTATTGTCATTACAATTTTTGGCTGTGTCAGCCTATTCTCCCATTAAAAAAAAAAAAGCTTACTTGAGCTGAACATTGTCTTCCATCCCATCTCCCAAGATTCTATATCAAGTCATCTTCTAATCAAAAGATTGTCAACTTTACAAGTAAGATGCTTCAGTTTAGAGCCTAAGAATTTTTGTTCAGAGATTGTGTTCAGATGCTGTAAAGACCTGTTTTTAGTCCTCTAGGGACAAGAGTGTCCTGACGTGTAAAGAGGACAGAGGTAGAGTGTGTTGGATTCAAATCCTGGCTCTTTAAGTCCCTGTTTCTACGTGTTATACGGATATAACATGTTCTCTGCCTGGTGTGATGGTGAGGCCCAGACAAGACCAACCCTGTGATCATCCAGTGCCTGCCATGCGGATCCCATTTGCCTTTCCCTTTTAGAGCAGAATCTAGTCACCTGCCCTGGCCAGGGTGCTCAGTGATGCAGTTCTTTTCTCCTGGTGGCCTTTGAATGAGAAAGCTGTTTCACATGGTCTTAGTATTGTCACTGTGGTTGTTTATAATCGCTTTGGTTGTGGTGTGGGTTATTTGTTTCCACATCTGAATATTGCTGTTTTATTACTCAATTAATCTTGTACCATATTATTCTATCATATCTGTTTAAATGGCTCCATTAAGAAAATGATCCTTGTGTTGACAAATGTACCTACTGGAACTTTGCTTTCTTTTTTTATTTTTCTGTCCTTCTGTTAAATGATTGAGTTCTGAATTGAGTGCATTTCCCACAGTGGTGAAGTTCTCTGGGAATGGGGCATAGCAGGCATTCCACTTACCCAGGCACTTTGGGAAACCATGAGGACTGATAACATCATCCTGTGATGGGTTTTCTACCCTGGCAACAGATACTTACCATCTAATCAGACAGAACATTGGATATCCTGGCAGAGCTGAATCTCATTGGCCCTGCACATGAGTGCAGGAAGGAGTTGGATTATCCTTCATTCACCTTGAGAGGATAATAGGGAGTTTTTATCTGGCGAATACTTGCAGCTTGAAAATCTGGGGCGTAAAGTGTGTCTGTTGTGCGTGTACAGTGACCCTCTCTTGGACTTCCAGTCTAAAGATGCTTCCTGCCCCCCTACACTGTCTCCTCCAGGTAGGACGTCATGACATGAACACCCTAAGCCTGCCCCTAAACATCCGCAGAGGCGGGTCGGACACCAACCTCAACTTTGATGTACCAGATGGCATCCTGGACTTCCACAAGGTCAAACTCAGTGCGGACAGCCTGAAACAGAAAATCCTCAAGGTCACAGAGCAGATAAAAATCGAGCAAACGTCCCGTGACGGGAACGTGGCAGAGTATCTGAAGCTGGTCGACAGCGCGGACAAGCAGCAGGCTGGCCGCATCAAGCAGGTGTTCGAGAAGAAGAACCAGAAGTCGGCTCACTCCATCGCCCAGCTGCAGAAGAAGTTGGAGCAGTACCACCGGAAGCTCCGGGAGCTCGAGCAGAACGGGGCCCTCCGGGGCGCCAAGGACACTGCCAAGGATAACCTGAAGGACATCCCGCCCTCTCTGAAGGATGCCCAGGCCAAGTCCCGCACCGCCCCCCACAGCCTGGAGAGCAGCAAGTCGGGCATGCCGGGGGTGTCCCTCACCCCGCCCGTGTTCGTCTTCAGCAAGTCCAGGGAGTTCGCCAACCTGATCCGGAATAAGTTCGGCAGCGCTGACAACATTGCCCACCTGAAGAACTCCTTGGAGGAGTTCCGGCCCGAGGCCAGCGCCAGGGCCTACGGGGGCAGCGCCACCATCGTGAACAAGCCCAAATACGGCAGCGACGACGAGTGCTCGAGCGGCACGTCGGGCTCCGGCGACAGCAATGGGAACCAGTCGTTCGCGGCCGGGGGCTCGGGCAGCCAGGGCAAGCTCACGGCCATCCTGGAGGAGCTCCGGGAGATCAAGGACACGCAGGCACAGCTGGCTGAGGACATCGAGGCCCTCAAGGTGCAGTTCAAGAGGGAGTACGGCTTCATCTCCCAGACGCTGCAGGAGGAGAGATACAGGTACTTCCGGCTCTGCTCTCAGGAGCTTGAGCTTCTGAGATTGGAGAGATTGTTCGAAAGTGATATGCTGATGGTTGTGTTTCTTTAAAAATGTGAATGTGGGTCAAAAGGCATTTAGGAACCGAGAGTTCCTTCCCTACTTTGCAGTTCTAAACATTGTAATTTGCGACTTGAAGCTCGACAGCTTAGAGAAAGACATCATGCATGTGGGTCTGTTAAAATATCACCATATAGTCGATGACTCACGTGCGTATTAAGCTCCTGATTCAGTAGACAGTTGTTAGGAGATCTCGGTATACTAATTTCAAGATCTGTATTTGGTTTCCCCCTGTAGTAACTGTCAAGTAAAAAAAACAAATTCGCAGTCCAGCAAAGTAGCTTTTATTTGGTACATAAATCTCAAAGTCTTTAAATGTATTTTTTTGTGAGATTACATTTTGCGTATTAATAAACCTTTCACCCTAAATGAAAACCTTTCAAAAGGAATCTTAAAATAAAAATTCAAATCCTGTGGATTATATTAGCTAATTTTTAAATAGTTGGCTTTTTGGTGCCTCCTGCTTAAAAAGTGTACATGCCCAAATATGAGGTGGTTTTCCACCATTTTCCCATTAAAAATATGCACACACACCCCCCCCCGCCACCTCAGGTTTTTTTGTCAAGTGAATGTTAACTTCTAAAAATATAGATGAAACAGTGAATGCCTATTACATATTATAAGATTTAAATTTTAAATTTAGTTTGCATGTTGTTTTGTGTCTGATATATGATTTTATGTAAGTGTTAATTTAGAGGTGTTGCTTTTTCAGCTCTTATATTTTATGAAACAATTTTTTTTAAACTTTCTGTGTACATCTTTGACTTTGGATTCTTTGTCACATAAGAACTATTTTTGAGTCACAGTTTTTCTAAATAATGTTGACTTTGATTCCATTCAGGAAGTTTGGGAAACATCTCTGTTTGGGTCCAAGTTTTATTTCAAGTCACAAATATCCATTCAAACAGTTTTGGTTCTCATTTTGTTATATAGTTATGTTTGTGATCCTCCTGATTTAGTCTGACTGTATTGCTTACTTTAGGAGATCTTTGTTTTTAGTCTTTATTTTATATTGGATTATAGCTGATTTATGATGTTGTGTTAGTTTCAGGTGTATAGCAAAGTGATTGTTATACATATATATATATATATCTGTTCTTTTTCAGCTTCTTTCCCCATATAGGCTTTTACAGAGTATTGAGTAGAGTTCCCTGTGCCATACAGTAGGTCCTTATCATCTATTTTATATATAGTAGTGTGTCCATGTTAGTATCAAACTTCTAATTTATCCCTCCCTTATCTTTTCCCTTTGACAATCATCAGTTTGTTTTCTAAGTCTATGAGTCTGTTTCAGTTTTTTAAATAAATTCGTTTCATCTTTTTTTAAAGATTGCACATACAAGCGATATCACGTGATGTTTGTCTCTGACTTATTTCACTGAGTGTGATCATCTCTAGGTCCATCCGTGTTGCTGCACATGGCAGTATTTCATTCTTTTTTATGGCTGAGTAATATTCCATTGTCAGTGTGTACCACCTTTTCTTTATTCATTCATCTGTTAAGAGATCTTTAAAAGGCTTGCTTACAAACACCAACATTGAGCACCTACAAGCTGCTCCAACATTGAGCATCTCCTACCTGAGAATAATCATTAAATCTGTATTAAAGTGGTTTTTTTTTTAATGATTTTTTTCAAGTGACCTATATGAAGTGTCTAAAACTGGCATTACTCAAAAGTCATCCAGGCTAATGCATCTTCCTCAAATAGTGCTTCCTGTTTCAAAATAAACATTACATAAGTTTTCAGATAAAAGAAAAAATTTCCCTATTCTGAGGGGACTGGGCATTGGGAATAGGAATCTTTGTGCTTCTCTTACTTTAGATTTGAACTTTTGGAACTGCCACCTGTTAAGCCATATTGAATTTATAACAAGCTGAATTTTTTTTTAATTGGCACTTAAGAACTAAGACATGTATTCACTATTACCGTGCACACTGGGAAATCAGTGGAAGTGGCTCCAACCTAGAAACTGGTCCTTTCCTTATAGATCTCTGGTGCATGAGAGCTATGGCGGTGAACCACCAGGCTCTGAGCGGTCAAAAGAGGGAGAAGCACCAGGATGCCAGTGGGTCCTCACCTTGAACAGGGTTCTTGACAGCCCTGTCTCCTGACCAGCCCAAATGAGCAGCCAGTGGGGTCTGTCCCCACAGCCGCCAAGGTGCTGGTGTGACGTGGGTGGAAAAGCCCAATTTGGTTTGCATGAACCCTCAGTAGTGAGGACAGAGTTAAGACGGCAGAGACCAGTCCTTTCTGGAGCTAGAGTTCAGCGTTATCCAAAAGCATGTCCCCTACAGCTAGACTTACTCTTGGAAGCTCAGTCTGCCTGGCGGAGAACAAGCCACAGGGCAGTGGCGACAGTAGGCACAAAGGATGTCATTTTCCAAGGGCCGTCCATACACTTTTGAAATGTCGCACTCAGAATCAATTCATCTCTTTACAAAGGTACGAGCGACTGGAGGACCAGCTCCATGACCTCACCGACCTGCATCAGCACGAGACGGCCAACCTGAAGCAGCAGCTAGCCAGCATCGAGGAGAAGGTGGCCTACCAGGCCTACGAGCGCTCGCGGGACATCCAGGTGCCTTTCCTTCCCCCACCAGAGCTCCCGCGGGCCCTTCCCAGCCATTTATTCATTTAACAAACCAATATATTACCCCCAAGCCTGGAAGGATTTCTGGTGCTGAGGGGCAGACATTTAATCTTTACCCTCTTTACCCCAGTAGCTCATGTTATAGACTTTAAGCTATAGTCTGTCTGCTTTCTGCCTAAGTTAGTTAACAATTATTTTTTATCTACCCCAAGCCTATCACCTGTACTTTACTCTCCCCCACCATCACCACATTTTTACAAATTTTAAAACCTGAGACAAACCTTGCCTTCAACATGCTTGCTTAGGTGAGAAATCAAGAGGAACACAGCTGCCAGTGGGCTCAAGACAGCATGAACAAGGGCCAAGTTACATGATTGTAGGCTCTGAAAGCCTCAGAAATTCAGGCGTGCAGTGCCCAGCAAGCTATGGACTTGTGGGGCGGGGGCCACAAAGTGATCAGACCCTGGATTTCAGTCCCAGCTGTTTACCAGCTACCTGGTCCTGAGCAAGCTTTAAGTTTCTTTGCTTATCTGTAAAATATTAACTTTCATATTTGTGGGAATTTTAAGCACTTGAGTCCATACTCTGTGCCAGGCACTGTCAAAGCACTTTAGATGTCTGTATGCCCATTTGTTTCTGTTTGTGATAGCTCCTTTTCCTCTCCCCGTTTCTCAGAAGTAGAGACCAAGGCGCAGAAACCTTGTTCAAGGTCTTACAAATAGTCCTTGAGTAATGAATCTGAATAAAAGTCTTGGAGAAGGTGGGTTTTGAAGGGATGGGTGGGATCCCAGTGGATGGAGGAAAATGGACCAGTATAAACAAAGGCATGTTCTAGTGATAATGTGATACTAATGCTGTCATGGTGCTTCCCTGGTGGGTCAGATGGTAAAGAATCCACCTGCAATGCAGGAGAGCTGGGTTTGATCCCTGGCTCAGGAAGATCCCCTGGAGGAGGAATGGCAACCCACTCCAATATTCTTGCCTGGGAAATGCCATGGACAGAGGAGCCGGATGGGTTACAGTCCATAGGATCGCAAAAGAGCCAGATGCAACTGAGCAACAATGCTGTGGTGAAGCAGCCCTAGGCTTCTTGAGCTCCTTTTTGGGGGTTCCAGAAGGTCTTCTTTTTCCCCCAGTTTTTATTCAGACACAATTTTCATACAGCTGTATTAAAGTATACAATATAATGATTTCATATGTGTACCTATTGCAAAAATATCACCACAATAAATTGAGTTAACATTCGTCACCTCACATAGTTACAAATTTGTTCTCTTGTGACGAGAACTTTGAAGGTCTACTCTCAGCAACTTTCAAATACACAATACACCCTTGTTAACTATAGTGAGCAAGCTGTACATTACATCCACAGGGCTCATTTATCTTATAACTGAAAGTTTGTGCTTTTGACCCTCTTCACCCATTTCACCTCCCTTCCCCTTTTAGATTCTACGGTATTTGTTGTCTGTCTGACTCATTTCACTTAGCATTAATACCCTTTAGGTCCATCATCCCTGTTGCAAATGGCATTGTCTCCTTGTTTCTTCGGGCTGCATAGTATGCCTGGGTGTGTGTGTACCACATTTTCTTTATTGATCCATCAGTGGCCACTTGGGTTGTTTCCATGTCTGGGCTGTTGTCAGTAATGCTGTAATAAATGTGAAGGTGTGAATTTCTCTTCTAGATGCTAGTGTCATGTCCTTCCTGTATGTACCCAGAAGTGGGATTTGTGGATCATATGGTAGTTCTATTTGTAATTTTTTGAGGAACCTCTGTACTGTTTTCCATAGTGGCTGCAGTGATTTACATTCGCATAGATTGCCTTTTTTAAAAAAAGGAAACAAAGAGTGCTATCCAAGTCATGCTCAGCTTCAGTTTTACAAATGTTCTTTGCAGGCGTGGTTATTTTCTCCAGCCCCACTTTACAAGGGGCTGAGACGCAGAGATTTCTCCCACAGTGTCTGAGCCAGAGTTTCAGCTGCCCATGTTTTGTTCCTTCCTGTCAAAAGCTGAGCCTGTGCTAATTCCAGTTGTCTGCTTGGACGATGCTGGGAGCCAAAGAAGGCATCAGGCTTGTTTGCCTCTGAGGACCTTGGTGCAGAAGACACCAAGCGGATTTCTGCTCTGGGCTGGGAGACTGAACTGCACTGCTGACTGGTGTCAGAGACGTGAACCTGCTTAAGTGTGACGTGTTGCCAGGCAGACAGCACATGCGTTTTATGAGAGCACGCTGTTCAGCTGCATCTGGGATTCCACTGGCTTATGTCTAAATATTATGTACGGTTTGCTTATTTAGGGGATTGTTTGGGTTTATATTGTTATTCCTTTTTTAAAGAAATATACTTTAGAGATGGAAGGGGTAAGATATGGGGGGGGGTGGCAAACTTCATAGAGAGCTTAAAAATTCAGAAGATTTCATTTTACCATTTTCTAGTTTTACCTGTAGCTCAGAAGTGCAAAGGGGATGTCCATGTGAGTGACTGGAGGGCCTTTCTTTTTAGAATCTTGCCTCTGTCTCTTACTGTGACCCTGCACAAGTCAGGACTATGCCTCAGCTTCCTCATCTGTAAAATGGAAATATTAACGAGCTCTACCTCAAAAGGTCTGTCAGAAGGATTAAATGGGATAAGATACATGAAATACTTAAATCTTTACCTGACACATCAGACAAAAAAATAGATGCTGGTCAGTTTTATATTTAGTATGTATGAGTAGCTGTATTTCTTGGGGCTTTGGTGACTGAGCCTGCTCACTTTCCTCTTTCTTGTTTTTTTGTGCTTATAGGCAGGGCTATACAAGGTGATGGAGTAGTATAGATGAGGGTAACTGTTGCCTATAAGGATACAAAGGTTTTATTGTTGTTTTAAAGAGCAAGTAAGTTTTTTTTAACCCTGAATTCGAAATAAAAAGTTTAAAGGTAATCCTGTCCTTTGTCCTTATCCCCAGTAAATTTAGTACTTACTTTGGCCCAGTATTTAATTTCTTAGTGGCTGCTGTGACCAAAATTCCTTACAGTTGATGGCTTAATTTTCTTGAATTTTTCTTTTGGTTAAAAATTTGACAGAAGTTCTAAGGCAGTTCTAGAATCAGCCTACTCTGCATATGTAAATCATCTCCCCAATCACAGATGAACGCATTTACCTAAAATGGTCATCTTTTGTCCTGTTCCATCACCAGTTCCATGCCATGCCTAAAACAGAGGATGCTCTCTGTGGACCTAAGCATTTTAAAAGAATACATGATTCGGGGGGCCCTTGCCTGTTGCTGTAGAAAGTCAGCGCTATTTAGAATGTGAAGATCTGAAGAAGTTTTACCTTCTTTGTCGGTAGCCTGTGTGATGAAAGTTACTATAGTAACAGAGAACCCTTGGCCCATAGAGTATGTTCAGAAGAAGGAAAGTAAATCAATGTTGGCGCCATTATGCTTGTTTCAAATCTGAAAACATGACTGGATTTTAATTGAGCAAACATATATTGGGAAACGAGTTAGAAAATAGGCTGGTGAACTAAACTAGGTCATTGTACTGCCTCCACTTAGGTCTTTTTCTCCTGGGAGGTGTATGTTTCTTCTCTTTTTCTAGTCTCTTATCCCCTTACTGGCATTCAGTCTCTGGAGCATGCGGCCAGCTTGTGCCTCCTGCTGGAGATAACAGTGCAGTGTAGGTATGGTCCCCCAGTTGGGGAGGAGGCCGGGAGAGGGACTTGACAGTCTGGTGGGTCCAGGAATGCTTCCCTCAGGACGTGACCATCAACATAGGACCCGAAAGGTGGAGCGGGTGGTATGTGGGGAGGCAAACCTTTTAGGCACAGCACGTGTGCAAAGGCCCTGAACACGGTCCTTTGCAGCACTTTTTAAAGCCAGTATGGCCGGAACACAGTGAAGAGGGGAGGAAGGGGGCTTATCTGGTAAGCTTGGCAGGAGAGAGTGGCTGGGCCAAGGCCACGTTAAAGATTTAAAAGGTTCTACAAGAAAGAGCCATACCACATCCACATCTTTCAGAGATCACCTGGGCTGCTGTGTGGAAAGTGGATTCATGAGGTTGAGGATGGAGAGTGTGTGCAGAGAAATGAGTATAAAGTTATCGCAGGCAGAGACCCTGGTGGTTTAGGTGGGGGGTTACTGTGGGCGAATGAGGAATGGACCAGTTAGGATAAATACCAGACGTTGTGTGGGTGGGGCTGGATCATGAGAAGGGTGTCAGGAAATGCCCCTCATGCTTCTCATATGAGAATTTGGCTCACCAAGTGCTGTTTTCTGAGGAAAGGAACTGGAAGGGCAACAGGGTTGATGGCAGGAGTGAGGATGGTGAGGACAGGTATACAGAACCGGCCACATTGCATTTGACGTGCTTCTGAGAAACTCTGATGGAGATGTCAGGGCCTCCCTGGTGGCTCAGAGGTGAAGAGTCTGCCTGCCATTGCAGGAGATGCAAGAGACGTGGGTTCAATTCCTGGGTCGGGAAGATCCCCTGGAGAAGGAAATGGCACCCCACTTCAGTATTCTTGCCTGGAGAATCCCATGGACAGAGGAGCCCGGTGGGCTACAGTCTATGGGGTCACAAAAGAGTCAGACACGACTTAGTGACTAAACAGGAGCAAAGATGGAAATGTCAGGGGCTCATGTAGACACACGGCTCGGTCTCAGAAGAGACAGCTGGGCTGGAGATGTTCTTGGAGTACGAGTAATCAAAGCTGGCGAGGCAGAGGCCTCGGGAGGAGGCGTGGCCTCAGGTCGGGCCCCGGGGACGTGGCTGCTCTCTGAGCGCCCGCGGAGCACGGCGCTGTCTCTCCCGCTTCCTCCTCTGCAGCGGATGCAAACAGACTCTGAGCAGTGGCGTGGGGACCAGGGGTTGGAGATGCCACTTCCTCCATCGCTGGAGGTAGACCCTGTCGCAGAACGGGACCCCACCCCTTCCTCTGGTTTGTCCGTGAGGGTTCCACCAGATGCCAGTATTCTATGCGCTTTATTCTAAATATAGGCAGAGTCAAAATACCTAACCGTGGGACTTCCCTTGTGATCCAGTGGTCAAGACCCTTCGCCACCAGTGCAGAGGACATGGGTTTGATCCCTGGTTGGGGAACTAAGATCCCACATGCTGTGCAGTGTGGCCAAAAACCAAAACACCTGCCCGTAAATCCCTTATTCATGGTATTTCACGGTTGTCGATACATGCTCGTTCTATCCATGAATAGCAGGATAAGGCGAGCCCCGGGATTCTTGTCTGACACCTGTGTGTCATCACCACCATTATCATCAGCGTCGGTGTGAAGCTGCCCCAGTAGCAGCATCCTGAGCGGGGTGGGCCTCATGCACGTCCCAGCTCACGCTCCTGTGTTGCCCCAGCAGCGTTTGATCCTCGCTCTCCCTCTCGCCCGCAGGAAGCCCTGGAGTCCTGCCAGACTCGCATCTCTAAGCTGGAGCTCCACCAGCAGGAGCAGCAAGCCCTGCAGACGGACACGGTGAACGCCAAAGTCCTGCTGGGCAAGTGCATCAACGTCGTCCTGGCCTTCATGACGGTCATCCTGGTGTGCGTGTCCACCATCGCCAAGTTCATCTCGCCCATGATGAAGAGCCGCTTCCACATCCTCGGCACCTTCTTCGCTGTGACTCTCTTTGCGATATTTTGTAAAAACTGGGACCACATTCTGTGTGCTATAGAAAGGATAATAATACCAAGATGAAGCCTCCAGTTCCTGTCTTCACATCCTCTCAAGTTTTTATTTTAAAGAAAACTCTGTTCATACTACCAAATTTTAAAATGGACATTTGTGCCGACAGAAAAATACAGGACCGGGGCTGTGTGTTGTAGATAACTACAGTTCTCGTCGCCCGGTGGCACTCGCCAGCTGGGTCCCTGTGCGTGGTTACCGTGAATCTGTTTCCAGGCTCTCCCCACCTTGCTCACTGCCTTAATCAGCCCTGGTTTCCTGCTGCCTGCCCAGCTCATCTTGGTCAGCCTCTGGTTGTCAAGCACTTGGGGTAGTCAGTGACCCAGAAGAAGAGAGACTTTCCATCTCTCTCAAGTCTGTCAATCTTGAGCTTCACCATTGCTAGGGCTACATTTCCCCTCGAGTCCTGTAAGCCGTGAAGATGCGGCAGGACTTGGGGAGGGGAAGAAGCTCAGACGGTGACCCTGGAGCCTGTGGGGCCTGTGAAAGCACAGTAGGTCCCGTGTAATCTGTCCCACTGTCCACTGCTGACCGTCGGTCCGCTGTGTGCCCCGTGTCCACCCTGGCCAACTGTGTGTGACCCTCTGTCATGGGGGAATCTTACAGTTCACCTGTTAGTCCATCGCAAGTCTAACCTAGGTGTTCCATTGCTCTTTAAATGGTAAGACATGAGGATTTATGAACGGGTCTTGCCTTCATACACCCAGGGAGCCATAGTCCTGATTCCACCCTCACTGACTGTCGAACGCACCACCTTCCAGGCATATAGAGAGGCTCCCCAATCCCTCTTCAAACTGTGTCTTTAATTGAGGTCTGGAAAGCACTGTATTTGTGTTCCAGCAAATTTTCACTGTGATCAGCCCCTCTCAGGATGTGTTTCGTTTTCTGTGATTCATTTTATTCAGTCTGTGAGGGCTGGCAATGTGTCAACGTGTACTCAGTAAATAAAAAAGGCTGCTCACGTTTCGAGTTTTGTGTTTTTTTTTTTCTCTCTTCAAGAAAGGACAACAGGATCATAGTTTCTAAAGCTAAAATGCCCTGAAGTGGGAACACTGGAGAAAAGGAAGAAAATAGGATATGTGGTTTAAGGGGGTGGCATCTAGACCAGTGGGTGCAGGTGACCTGGGTGAAGATTGAGAGGGTCCTTGTCAGACCCTGAAAGACCTGCAAGAATAAAATAAATTAGATTCGGTGTCTGAGCCAAGGTTGCCCTCTGTCGCTTAGGATGAGTTCTAAGGGAGTAGATGGAGTGGTCACACTTCTGCTGAGGTGAGAGCATGCAGAAGTCAACATCTTTGGCCAATTTGGGGGATGTCGTTTACTCTCTTGAGCCCAGATGATACTCTTTTAAATCTGTTTCTCTGTCACAAAAAAGAAGCAATAGAAGATGTTAGTGGAAACTGGTTCATCCCCTCCTCCCACCAGCTGTTTTGCTATCTAAAAAAAAAAGGAAGAGTATCAGTGTACGTTATCTTCCAGAAAGTATCAAATGACCCGGATTTTAAATTTAAGTGCAATATTTTTGCAAATAGGGCTTCCCTGGTGGCTCAGCGGAAAAGAATCTGCCTGCAATACAGGAGTCAGGATCCAGAGAAGGAATCTGGTTCTGTTTTCATGGCCAGTGTTCCCTGTTGTCTGTGGGCCTCAGTCTCCATGTGGGTAAGGGCTGGATGTAACTTATGCCCTTGAATCAAGCTGCCTCCTGGATGGGTCCTCTTGATTTCTGTGAACCTTTCTGAGGCCACTTTGGACATGCCAGGGGATGTGGGGTGGGTGTGGATGCTACTGGTAGTTTAGAGAGGAGATCGATCCCTGGCCCTTAAGATAAGAGCTCTGGGAGGACCCAAGAAGGCTCGAGCCTGCTCCTCATGCACCCATACTCCGCTCCATTGCTCAGCCTGGCACCTTTGCTTTGGTGCTTCCCAGCTGTGTGATCAGTGTTTCTCCTCCCCAGTGAGAGAGATGGAGAAGTAATCAGAAAGCAACACAGTTCGCTCCCCCTGCAACCTGGAGCTGTTAACAGAAGCTGCTCATAGCTCTTCTGAAATGTTGTAGGGTCTAAGTCACTCCACCTGACGGTGAATTTTTATTTTTAAGAATTCTTCTTTCCAGTGATTCTCATTAGACTTCAAAAACCTTATTTTCACTTGGGTATGCTCACCCTACACAGTGTATTTATTTTCAAGTCTTGTTGAAAGTTCATGAAGCTTTTTAATAAGATGGTATCCTCCAAGGAGACTTTTACTTTCTGCAGTTTATGATTCTCCTCTCAAAGAATAAACTCTCCCGCTGCTGCTGCTTTTTACTGCCAAAGGAGATTAAATAAAATGTTATAAATATGCAATAAAAATAGTGATCTTGCTATGACATATTCTGGAATTGGGTATTCAGTTTACACTTAAGTTAACGAATCCTTTTCCCCACCTTTCCCTAGCAGTCAGCGTCATGTGCATACCTAGAGATGAAAGCCATCTGTAGGATGGGTAAGTGCCTGCTCCCTCCGTGAACTTAAGTGATTGAAGATACTGGGCATTGGGTTCTAGCACTGGATTTTTTGGTGACATATTATTTTCATGATCACCAGGATAATGATAGTCTGCTGAGGACAAAAGAAAAACCTAAGAATACTCTTTTGTGGGTTTTGAGTTGGTTATTGCAGCTTATATTTTGAATATGATTGAGTCAAAACAAAACATCCTCCCATTCAGTTCCACCCTCCCCACCAAAAAAAAAAAAAAAAAGAAACCAACAATGAAGCAGGAAATAAAAATATTCCATTGCTGATTTGGGGCAGTGAAAGTAGAGTCCCAAGTTTCTAGCACATACAGTTAGTTGTTTAGCTTATATAGTTGCTGTGATCTATTGATAAATTAAACTCTCCTGAAATTCCTCCCTTTTCCATCACAGCCCATAATGCTGTTATTATCCCTCCCTATCTTATCAGTGAGCATCTGTGTGGTTTTAGTCTTTCTCCTGCTGTCACTCTTGTTTTCATTTATGTATTTCCCCACTATGTATGTTTCTCGCCTTGTCTTTCTTCTAGTGCATCAGGTTTAATTGTAAGGGTTCAGTAATAGTGAGAGGAACTAGTTCTCTTAGGCAACTACTTATTCACGTCCTTTTTCTTTGTTTTTTAAATACCAAGTTATTTTGCGTCAGATAGAACAATTTTGCATTGAATCCAAATACAGTTGTGTTGGTTCAGGAAAACACTTAAATACTTGCTAATAATATGAACATGTATGATTAAACAGTTGATTTTGCTTTTTTTTTTTCATAATTTTGAGGAACTGGGGGGGTAGGATGAAATGGCATTATTTAAAATTTAGAACTTTATCTGGAGAGAGGTGTTATAAGAAGTTTAGCACATATGCTAAGGAAAGAGTTGATCTAAAAAGGTAAATCACTAAAAAGAATGAAATTGGCCTATTTATATTAAAAGTAGTTAAGAAACTTTTCTGAAAAGAAAGGTACATTTAATCAGAGTGGTAACCCAGAAGGTATAAAGCAGATCTATAATTTTCTAAAGTCAATGCAATTCTCTGTTTATCAGAAGCTGGAAAGTAACATAACTTGATTGTTTTAGGAGTGATTTATGTATTGCAACTTTGGTTTATTTAAAGCATGTCTGCTGTGTTTGTCCTTAGAGAAATGTTTCAACAAAGCTCTCTGTTTAAGATGTGTTTAGGCAGTAGTTAGTGGCTCTGAGCATAAAAACTGGAAGTGATTATTGTGAGGTCTGTTGCAGAATATCTGTTTTATGGGACATCATATAGTTTCCTGTTAGCCTAAAATTGTAAATCCTATGTAGATCTTCACCCCATTCAAAACAGGGGCCGTGATTTTTTTAAATAGACACTTGATGTTGGCTTTGATGTTAAATGAAGAGCTGGATTTCTTATATTTCCACATTTGTCAGAGCCCATCCCAATGGCAGATCTCTTTGTGTCTATATAATCATTTTTAAAAATAGACTATTTTAGAGCAGTTTTAGGTTCACAGAAAGCTTGATTGGAAGGTATAAAAATGTCCATACAACCCTCTGTTCCCACACATGCGCAGCCTCCCCTCCTGTCAACATTCCCCACTGGCAGGTACATTTGTGACACTTGACAAACCGACATTGATGTATCATTATCACCCAAAGTCCCTAGTTTACATTAGGGTTCAGTCTTGTATATTCTATGGCTTTGGACAGGTGTGTAATGACATGTATCCACCGTTAATTACATTAATAGTACCATACAGAATAGTTTCACTGCCTTAAAAATCCTCTCTTTATCCCTCCCTGTCTCCTCTACACCCCCCCCCCCCCCCCCCCAANCCCCGGCCCCCAATCAATTTTTCAACTAATTTCAGCTCTCTGGAAAGTTGTCTGTGTGCCCATTCCTTGAGCCTGGGCGGAGGGAGAAGGGTGTTTGTCACAGCACCTGGAAATCTAGGAGCTGTTCCCTGGTGTTGTGGGCGGAGGTGTGGTGGGATGCTGAGGACCAGGCAGAGCCATCCTGGGCTGGAGTGAGCAGGACAAGAAGGGCATCACGGGGCACAGGAGTGAGCGGACCCTCTGGCAGGAGCCGCCAATTTAGTGGCGTCTATCTTTTGTGTGGAGCTTCGGTGCTGACTAAGCACTTTGTTTTGCTAGTGCTGTGACTCACCTGAGCCAGTCCTGTGCCGTGGGCATCGTTATCCCAGGTACATGGGTGGAGCTGAAGCTCAGATACATGCAAGGTTCCCAAGGTCACAGCTAGTGAAGCAGGGAGCTGGGACTCTCTTGGCCTTTGCCTTCTCCTGCCTTTTTATCTACTTTCTACTCAGCTCGATGTGATAAGCAACTTCTGCTCTGGTTCTTCCAGCACCCACCCTGCACTGACATGATAACTAGAACATTGAGAGGATGGAGACTTTGGTAAATGCATCAGCTCCTCCCCTGCCCTGGTTTATTTGCATATCTGAATCCTTGGAAATCTTAGGGCACCCCACTGTTATTTTGCACACCCATTGTTATTTGATGTCTGAAGATGTATATACAGAAAATAAAAATAATTATATTAAGCGTGGGACTGATCTGGCATATTCCCAAGTGTTGCTTTAGGGAAAACACCAAGTCTGTATTTCGTTAAAATGAGAGATGGGGAAAAAAATGTGTTTAGTTGGATTATAGCTCATAATGAAAGCTACTGCCACACAATAAAGCAGTGCTTTCTGATTTTGAATCGTACCTGGACTCCTAATAGAAGAAATTATCATAGACACTTGAGAATATCTATAGTCACAACTTGACCAAGTAGCTTAAGACCATAATAGCAATTGGTAATAATAGCTTTTGTTAATTTCCAACCATAAGATCGCATCTGCTGCCATACATACAAAGTTACTTTCTGATACGTATGACCTTTAGATGGAGGATTTTATGGGACACAGCAGGACTGTGACAGTATTGAATAGCACCTTCTGGACTTTCATAGCTGTGAAGTGACGGCTAACATTCTTTGAGCATTTACTGTGTACCATGCTATGTGATGGGGCTTCTCTGGTTGCTCAGCAGTTAGGAATCCTCCTGCAGTACCGGAGATGCAGGAGACCCGGGTTCGATCCCTGGATCGGGAAGATCCCTTAGAGAAGGGAATGGCTACCCACTAGAGTATTCTTGCCTGGAGAAGTCTATGGACAGAGGAACCTGGTGGGCCTCAGTCCATGGGGTCGCAAGAGTCAGATATGACTTAGTAACTAAACCATCACTACCACATGCTATATGTCAAATGGTTTATTTTCAGTATCAAACATAATCGTACCAACACCCAAGAAGATAGGCACCTTTATCCTTGCTTAACAGATGAGGAAACAGGTTCCCAGTGGCTAAAGTTTATCGTGGGGTATGGTGGGTCTGCTAGTCAGCCCCATGCGTGTGTGACTGTGAGTCTATACTGCTAACCAGCCCTGTGCTGTAATAGAAGGACTGAATGGCTGGT